GACGAGCGAGGTGCCCAGCCACTGGCGGCCCGACATCGGGTTCTGGAAGATGATGACCGAGCCCAGGATGGTGAAGAACTTGCGCGTCGTCGTTACGATGGAACATGTCAGCGGCCCGAAGGTGGTCACAGTGATGAAGATGAACATCTGGAGGGAAAGGAGAGAAAGAATGCATAAGTTTTTGGCTTTAGTAGGTTTAGTCGACTTGAAAGACAATAAGGTCAGTTTTAGTTTTAGTAGAGGTTTTACAGCAATCGCAACTGCATAAGGTCATATGAGCACCAAGGGGTGGATGTCAACAGGGAAGTCCATACAGGGAATCAGGCTCACTCTGCTCACCTCGCAAAGTCTGCTTCGACTATCAAGGCACCCCGGAAAAAGCGTGTCACAAGAGAGCAACAAACATACAAAAGAAGTAGAGGAAAATGAAGACAGTTAGGATTAGGAAAGAAAAAGCAGCAGTTCCCTGTTGCAGTTCACGTACAGTTATAATGAGTATGACATATTTGACAATACGGTCATATAAGTGCCAAAGATTAGTAGAGGTGTTACAAGAGAGTGGCAAACACAAAAAAAGAAGGAGGAGGGATAAGGACGATAGATTTTTTATGGCAAAGAAGGAGCAAACCACACCAGAGCAACCGCCAGCCACCCACACCAAAACAAGAATATAAATAAAATCAAGGCACACCACAAAACAAATCAGCCTTTCCTACTGTGACCTACACCCAAAAACAAAATTTAAAAAATAAAAAAAACAATATTGCCCAATGACTGATAAAAATGTCGTTGTTTTGTTGTTTTTTTTATCTCCCTCCTCCCCCCCTCCCCCCCCACCAATTTCTATATTTTGCTGAGCGCATGAACTTCTCAACAGGGCCACACATTTCTTTACCTGCCCAACAGCGGAGGCCAAGCTGAAGCTGATCATGTTGAACAAGACGTACGGATAGCGGTTGGCAAACGCCACAAACTCAAACAGCTCGCCGGTGATCACCACACCTACGGGGGGGAAAAACACAAATGAAATAATTATAATAACAATAGTACGTAATAATAATAACAATGATAATAATATTCATAATAATAATAATAACAATGATAATAATATTCATAATAATAATAACAAAAATTATTATTATTGTAATCATAATAATAATAATGATGATGATATTAATAATAATGACGATGATAAAAATATTAACAATAAAAATAAATTATAATTATTATGATAATAATCATAATCATAATAATAACACTCTTATTAATAATAATAATGATAATATCAATAATAAAAATAAGAATAATTATTATAATAATGATAATGATGACAATAATAATAATAGTAATAATAATAATAAAAAATAATAATATAAATAATAATAATATTGGCATCATCAGTTAGGACCTGTAGAGAATCAGAACTAAAAATTCCCAGACAAAACGACCGACCACTTCACGTAAAAAACCCACACGGCTCGCACCCCTTTAAACGTCACCAGGGTGCTGAATTCAGTAGAAGGGCCCAATTGTAAATGGGCTGACTCATCATGTCACGCTCATAACCGTGCCTGATCTACAACAGGGAATTGCTGCTTTTTCTTTCCTAATCCTTACTATTGTCATTTTCCTCTACTTCTTTTGTATGTTTGTCACTCTCTTGTGACCTGCTATTTCCGGAGTGCCTTGATAGTCGAAGCAGACCTTGTGCAGTTGAAGCTAGAGAGGTGAGCAGAGTAAGTCTGATTCCCCGTAAAGACTTCTCAGTTGACACCCACCCCTTTGCGCTCATATGACCTTAAGCAGTTGCGAGCGCTGTAAAACCCTCTAAAATAAAAAAAATATAAAAATCTCAGCCCGGGTTGGCCGTGACAGGCAGGGTCTGAAGCCCGCCTCTTGAACGATCAAAATTGTGTCGATAAAGGCTCAAGGAATGTTACACTTTTTTTTTTTTATTAAAAGAGAGAGAGAGAGAGAGAGAGAGAGAGAGAGAGAGAGAGAGAGAGAGAGACAGAGAGATACAAAAAATGATTTACTGTGTGCACATATACCTATAGAGGGATAGATGACTGATTGTGTAATGTATATATATATAATATATACACATACCTATAGAGAGATAGATGACTGATTGTGTATATACATATATACAGTCGAACCTGCCTTAACGGAAACTTGTATAAAACGGAAACCTGTCTTAACGGAATCTCCCCGCTCCCCCCTTGATATATATTCCTCTTTAATTACCTGTATAAAACGGAAACCTGTCCAACGTGGAAACGGAAAGAAAAATCCGCTCCCTTCGAAGGGCTTCACCTGTCTAAGACTGAAAATGCTTTGCCCGCTCAGCCCTGATTTGAAACAAAACTCACAAGTTTGGTTCCACCGGCTCTAAACTTAATGCCATGGCCATGCCGCTGGGCGAGGAAGGGGAGTAGGGGTGCAATTTGGGGGTAGATGTTACCCCGTCATGTGAGCCCTGAGCGATGCAGATGGTCAGTGTAGTGTGGGTGTGAAATCTCACGACTGCCCATGAGAGTGTTCGAGTAGCGAGCCATCACGGAAACTTTCCTGGGTAGCCAGAAGCCAGAGGTGTGAAATTAGATTGACCAATGCCTGCTGCCCTGATCGTACGGCCAGCCGAGAAAAGAGTTCCTCGAATCGTTGTTACAATGATGGCAGTGAGGGGTGGCATTGGTGGGTGGGGCTAAGGGCGGAAGCAAAGGAGATGTTCAAAAGTTTCTGGTTTTAATAGGTCAAACAGTGGTCCTATGAAAGGCAAGCATAGGTGGTAATTGTATAAGTAAGACTGACCCATGTTATTATCAGACAGGATAGCACTTGAGAGGGGTGAAGTTTTGACCACTGCTTGCCGATCGGACAGACGATCCTTGACCCACCGGCTGGGCCTTTGAATCCCTCCCCCCCCCCCCCCCCCCCACTAAATACCCCTGTCTAAGACGGAAAATGTCTAAGACGGAATTTTTTTCAGACTCCCTTACGATTCCGTCTCACACAGGTTCGACTGTACATTCCTATGAGAGATAGATGACTGTGTATATGTATACATACCTATAGAGAGATAGATGACTGTGTATATATTTATATATTAATATATATACATACCTATAGAGAGATAGATGACTGTGCATATATATTTATATATTAACATATATATATATACATATCTATAGAGAGATAGATGACTGTGTGTGTGTGTATGTATATATAGAGAGTGTATATAGTGTATATAGACCTATATATACCTATAGAGAGATAGATGACTGTGTATATATATATACATACCTATAGAGAGATAGATGACTGATTGTGTGTGTATATATGATAATATATATATATATATATGCACCTATAGAGAGATAGATGACTGTGTAATGTGTATATTCATATAAATATATATATATACATACCTATAGAGAGATAGATGACTGTATATATATTTATATATTAACATATATATATATACATACCTATAGAGAGATAGATGACGGAGCAGAGGTTAACGAAGAACATCATGTTGTTGGCGCCTGTCTTGTACTGTGACCTCATCCGGTCCTGGGAGGCGCCCGTCAGCCCGTCCAGGGTCAAGGACACCAGCTGAGGATGGGACACACAGACAGACCGATGGATTTTAGCAAGGGTTTTACATAAGATAAGATAAAAACGACATGAGATAAGAAAAGAAAAAAGAGGTGAGATCAAATAAGGTAAGATAATATAAAATAAGATTAGATAAAATGAGATGAGATAAGAAAAAGAAAAATGAGACGAGATAAAATGAGATAAGACAAGTTAAGAAAAGAAAAGATAAGATAATATAAAATAAGATAAAAACGCTGTAAAACCTTACTCAAACAAAAACACAACAGCTGTCTCAGAGAGTCAACAACTCACCAGCAGCACCTCCATTTGGACTTCTCTGTTGATATCCACCCCTTGGCGCTCATACGATGACCTTATGCAGTTGCGAGCGCCGTAAAACCTTACTAAAACAAAAACTCAACATCTGTCTCAGTGAGTCCACAACTCACCAGCAGCACCTCCCCAGTGCCCAGGATGTGGTGGTCCTCGGGTCGCGGGGAAGATCTCTTCTCTTTGTACATGAACAGGCCAACGCCCATCACGATGAGCAGCACACACAGGTACTTGGCCAGCGGGGAACACGCTGACCTCTAGGCCACCACAGACCCCCCGTTTTAGGTTGAGTAAGAGTTTCACAGCACTTGTAGCACTACAAATAGGTCATCACATAAGAGCCGAAATTTTATAGAATCTTTTTCCTGATTTAGACAGTATCAACTGTACTTGTCAGGTGTAGGATTAATTCTCAAAGCCACACCTACCTCATCCCCCCCCCCCCCCCCCCATCCCGAATACCTACTTCCGATAGGGCTGCAACACCTTTCCGAAAGGAATCATACTTTCGATTGCCCAACAAAAATTTTTTTCATGTTCGACCCGGCAAAATTCAAGGAGTTATCAAGGAGGTTCCTCAACTTCGAGGCTTTTTCAAGGAGATTTTTCCTTGAATTGAAAGCAAATTTTTTGAGTTTTTCAAAGACTCCTAATCTTCAAGGAGGCAGCAGGAACCCTGTAAACTCGACAGCCGTCTCAGTGAGGCCCCAACTCACCAGCAGCACCTCCCCAGTGCCCAGTATGTGGTGGTCCTCGGGTTGCGGGGAAGATCTCTTCTCCTTGTACATGAACAGCCCGACGCCCATCACGATGAGCAGCACACACAGGTACTTGGCCAGCGGGTAGCGTTTGGCGGCAAACAGAACCCCCAGGATCATCACGGGGATCGGTTTGATCGACTTGCCCAGCACCTGAACACAACGCAAGAAAAGCACAAAATTATTTTTTTTTAACAACAGAAAAAACAACCCCAAACCAATAAAACAAACAAACTACAGAGAATTTGTACACAAAGAGAAGTCAAAGACGTTTTTTTTTTTTTAAAAAGGAAGAAAGAAAAAGAAAGAAAAAAAGAAAAAGAAAGGAAGAAAGAAAGAAAGAAAGAATGAAAAAGAAAGAAAGAAACGAAAGAAAACAAGTTAAGTACAACAACATCTATGGTACTTTCTGTTTCAGAGATGCTACTGGGATTTAGTGAAAATATAGGAAAATTTTACGAAGTTGCATTCGTAAACAAACAAACAAAAACCCAATTAATAGACAAAACTAATAATATGATGTAAGACGGAAAACAAATGGGGGGGGTGGGGGGGGGGGGGGGGTTTGAAAGTGTTTAACAGCGCTCACAAGAAGGTCAAACGAGTGCGCGGGACACATTTTTAAACCATTTCAGTAGGCAGGAAATTTTGAAATTTGCACGGGTGGCAGCGGAAGCCCACTCAAATCCATAAGGGACCACCAAGGGAGATTACAAGTTTGATGTGAGGGTAACATTCATGATACAAAGAAAAGAAGGAGGAGAGATAAGGGAACGATAGATGTTTGACTGAGAAAGAAAAAAAAAAGAGCAAGCCACACCAGAGTGCCCACCAACCAACCACAGACAGACAGAAACAACAACAGCGGGACAGAAAAGAAGGAGGGGCTACCTGTGGCGCCCACCAACCATCCACCACCCATATGTGAGTGTGAGGCACCATGGTAAAATCAGGCGCTCGTCAAAATACAGAAATCGGAAAAACAGGCATTTTTCCGCCAGTTTGGACATTTTTATCTAATTTTTATTTTTGGCTCAGCCTCTTTTATGTCCATATAAAAACCTATTTCCATGTGAATTTTAATGAAAAACATTGATAAAAGGCTCAGAATTTGTCATTTTTCTGCTTACAAGGACTCTTTCGCTTTTGGAGTTATCAAACTCATTTTATCATTTTCTAGCTAGTTTCACCACCGAAACCAAGTGACCTCACTTCCTTCAATCGCAAATATATCTCGAGTTCTATTAAAATTAAAGATAGTTGGATATTTATTTCATTGAAAGACAGGCAAATAAATCAGCTTTCAGATGATACAAATAACTCCACACGCCCAAAAATGGACGAGCGCCTGATTCCACCTTGCCGTGACCCATATATGATCGACGTACCTGTGTGGGATAAGTGACGTGCTGAAGAGCGTGGTTGCTGGCCAGCATGGCTCCCAGGTATGTGAAGGCACACGCAGCGTAAAGGCCTTTGTTGGTCGAGTCTCTCTCTTTGGGGAAAAACGACATTGCTGCCAACAGAGAATTTTTTCTTTTTTTAGTAAGAGTTTTACGGCACTTGCAACACAATAAGGTCATATATATATTTTATTTTTTTGTAAGTGTTTTACAGCACGTGCAACACAATAAGGTCATATATTTTTTTTTATATTTTTTTTTAATTAGTGTTTTACGGCACTTGCAACACAATAAGGTCTATAAAAGTGCCGAAGACTAGAGGTGTTACAAGAGAGTAATAAACACAAAAAAGAAGCACGAGAGATCAGGACGATAGATGCTTGATAGGAAAGGAGGAGCAAACCACACCAGAGCACCCGCCAACCACCCACTAACAAAGTCTGATGACGACCAATCTGCGGAGGACAATATTTCTATTAAAGAAGAAATAAGGATCTTAAGATGATTTGCAGCTAATCTAGGACCAAGGGGACCAACTCTGGCAGAGAACAGAAGTGGAAAAAATACCTAAATTGATTTTAAAAAGAAAAAGAAAACATTTCATGATTTGAAGGAGCCACGGCACTCACCAATCTTAGCATAAGCAGCGTTGATGATGCACTGTACCATCACCAGACACAATGTGAAGTGGAATTTCTCCTGTTTCTCTCCTTCTCCATATTCCCCTTTTGTGCTGCAAAGAAATCAGGGTGAAAATTATGAAAAAGTAGAAAACATTTGACAACAAAATCTGGAAAATACTTGCTACTTATGGAATCTTTATGTTTACTGATGACCGATGAATGTCTTTCAGACCCATGCATGACTGCGTAATTCTGGTGTTTTATTTTTAAAAACAGTAAATATCGTCGAAGCTGCAAGCAAGAAAATCCACTTACGTCTAAATTATTTTAAGAATTTTCGATTTTTACACCCCCCCCCCCCCCAATTGCTCTAGTACTCTAACAAAGATGCACCTTTCAACATCACCAAGGTGCAGTTTAACGCTATGGTCAAAGCTTACATTTTTCTTGCTTTTCACGATTCTTTATAGGAACAACACAACAAAATCTAGGGGTTTTTTCTCTGACGTAAAAAGTATCCAAACAGACCAAAGAGGACTGCTTGCAGCACCGATGACAACCAGTTTTGGACGAAATTGAGAGATCGATTCCAGTTGTTCAAATTCAAAAGTTTCAAAAAGAAATTTGTCAAAAGTAGGACATGAATGACATACTGACCATTTTTATAAATGCCTGACATTTTATATTCCCCACATTCCCTAGCCAATATAATTTATTTTGTTTCAGATTATCATGTTAAAAATAAAAAACTGCAACTGACGAAAGCAGTTGGTCAATGTCAGCTCTCCAGTACGGTCAAGGTGAAACTGCCTTACTCTCTTCTTCCCTAAAGCAACCTTTACAGAAACTGTGAGGGGGAGTGGGAGGGTCAGGGGGAAGGGCAGGGGGTGTGGTCATAATTTGGTCTTGCAGTACTTAGGCCTACTGTATCATAAAAGTAAAAGTTGCATTGAACATTAAAGTTTCTGAGTACCACAAGAGACCACCGCAGACCATGCAACGATTGCTTCGGCTATGACATGACAACTGGGCTGCTCCTAACTTCAAGGTACTTTGAATACATAATTATGATCGATTACCAAATCAAAGTGGCTAGCCATACACTTAGATCTAGATTTAGGTTAGAAGACCCTATTGACCGTAACCAGTTGAGTACACAGGTCTCATTAGATATCTAATCTAGAATCTAGCTAGCTGTAGATCTAGATCAAGTAATCATTCAGGTTTAAAATAGGGAGGACTTCTGTAACGAGCAACCACTATGAGACGAAGCAGAATTGAGGGCTTGGGGAAGGGGTAGATCTAGGGGTAGGGGTAGGGGTAGGGTTAGGGTTAGGGTTAGGGTTTGGGTTAGGGTTAGGGTATGGGTTAGGGTTAGGGTAAGGATTAGGCCTTTTCTTTATTGTGTTTGATCTGATGGGGTGGTCGCTCGTTACGGAAGTCCTTCCTTATACATGCATGTCAGTATGGCACCTTTTGGTTTCATAATAGAAATACAGAGAAACCTAAAATCTAAATCTAGATCTAGATCTATATATATATACTTCAGTATTGCAAACTAAAATTTTATTTTAAAATTCAGCCATCATTATTAAGTGGGCCCTCTATGGCTAGCCTGCCGGTCTAGCCGTACTAAATTTTAGGGAAGTGGCTATTCTCAACCAGGGTGAGAATAGAAATACCATCGACCTCTCACCCCGGGTGAGACTTGCCACCGTAGGCTATTCTCACCCGATGTAAAACAAGACCTGTTTTTCCTAATTTCGGAATACTTTCTATCGATGTGGATGATCAAATGGATAAAGGCAAAGAAAAGATTACGTTATAGAACAAAAGTAAAAGTAAGCTAATTTTATCGACTACAAAGATGCTATGGCTTTTCGAATCGAGCCGAACTACGGGGGTCGCCATTTTGTTTTGCCCGGAAGTTCTCGCAAGATCTACTCCTCCCCTCTTCTCTTTCTCTCTATCTCTTTCTGAATACTGTCTATCGTTGTGGACGATCAAATTGACCAAAACAAAGTTTTAAAATGATGTTAAAACACAAAAGTAAATTAATTTGGTCGTCTACAAAGATGCTACGGCTATTTTTTATCTTTTCGAATCGAGCAGAACTACGCGGGTCGCCATTTTGTTTTGCCCGGAAGTTCTCGCGCTACTCCTCTCTCGTCTCTCTCTCTTTCTCTCTCTCTCCACTGCCCACAGACAAAATTGTACGCTTTTAGTAGGCTAACAGTAGTAATGGAACGTTTGTTCACGGCACAGAATTCTACAATTTTTCTGTTATCACAGTGTAGAATTCTGTGGTTTAGGGTGAACGCAAAATTGGTTGGCCTAGATCTAGGCTATAACGATGAACGCTCACCGGGTGAGAATAGCCAAAAGACTCGCCTGCACTATTCTCACTCGGGGTGAGAATAGAGGTGGCCAAATTTTAGGCCCCATTGGAAACGTGTTGAGTACACAGGTCTCATTCGTAATTAGGCCTTCTATTCAGGCTCAGCAGGTGTTTAGCTTAAAATACCGAACGCACGGTGTCAGTGTCAGTAAGGCACCTTTTGGTTTCGTCTAACGGAGTGTCTACGTACACGGTAACCGGGCGCGTAGCCTCAGGGTCTACGTACATGGTAACCGGGCGCATAGCCTCAGGGTCTACGTACACGGTAACCGGGCGCGTAGCCTCAGGGTCTACGTACATGGTAACCGGGCGCATAGCCTCTGGGTCTACGTACACGGTAACCGGGCACGTACGGTAGCCTCAGTGTCTACGTACACGGTAACCGGAAGGTTCAAGAGATAGTTCACTCAGCCAAAAAGAGTGTCACTATTATTGTTTTTCACACAAGTAGGGTAGATTCTAACTCTATTCGCAAAGTTTGCGCTTTTTCGAAAAGGCACACTAGGGTCACCCGCTCTATAGTCCAGCATGATACCCTCTAAATTTCATAACAGAGCATCCCGTAAGCCTTTACTTTTGCTTTCGTTACCACCAAGAAATTTGTCAGTAATTGTCTGATAACGCAACAATTATTGTAACATGCAGGTTCGGCATTACAAATAGGTGTCGCCATGAAAGTAAATCAATATAACTGTCACTGTGTCGTCACTTATAGGGGCAACATGCAGAAAAGAAAGTTATACAAGCGGTTTGTCGGGTTCACCATTGTGGCCGGTCAATGAACCTGCGCCCGTTCTGAGCGCTGCGAAGTACAGGAC